GTTCCAACCCCCAACCTGGAGGGCCAGGAGACTGTGTTCGTCAGACCTCTAACCATTGACCAACCTGGTATGAGATACTCTGTGAGTGTCGCGGGACACTCTCCAGTATAGCTCAATGGATCGCTGAGGTGCGCAAACCGTCACACCACGGTAAGGTCCAGGCTCTTCGTGACGGAATTAAATAAGCTGGCGGTTTTAAAACGACTTTACTGATCAAAACCTAGAGAAATGTGTTTAATTTAACATTCGCAGAGCTGCCCTCGACAAACACATCGGTATGAATCGAAAGAAAGCCCTAACAATGTTAATTCACTCTTGTAATGATCTGGAAGTTTCGGATCCCTAAAACAGGCGCATCACATAGACCTCTGCATGTAAATGAAGTGGACAGAAATAAACGTTTTAGATCATGCATACTGTTAAACGTAGTAAGTTGAACCATATACAGGTATGCAGGAAGATGATTAGTGCATTACTCAAGACACAATTGTCCTAATACAAAAATGTCTGCCTTATGCAAAGATATAACCCATTATGTGCAGTTGTTTTAAATTGAAATGATTGAAAATTTCTTACGTGCGCGAATTTAGGTGTGATTAGGCTGGTGGCGATGAAATATGCGATTTTGAGGAACGTTGTTGTTACCTCTTTGGCCCTGTTTTTCTACCTAGAATTATGCTTCTCGAATGACGACAACCCTGTGTCGTCCACAGATAGGGCTCGTAATTCGTTCTTCCGCAAGAAGGGTGGGTCAATTTGGCCAGATTCCCCTACTTCTTATCACCTGTATACTGTCGAGATATTCCATTCGGCTAATGATGAATGCAATCTGAGGGGATCATTACTTTTGTACGGCAAACCTTTGAACGATTTGGAGAAATTAATAAAGCACTACATCTCAGATAAACCGGTGACTTATTTTAAAGTAATGTACACTGTACAAAGTAATTTCACAATATATAAAGTAGCGCATTACATATACATATATAGTGAACAGTGGTAGTTGTCTGACATCAGTCGACATTCTGGAGCAGGAGGCGCACGCTCTCTGGATGCATTAACACCATTTTCAGTGTAACTGTCAGTCTGAAAGGACTTGGAATATTCATACCTGGGAAAATTTCCTGGACTACCTGTTAAAAACATGCTAACTGGACGCCTCTCAACAACAACAGAATCCATCTTCAGAACCTTCAAATGTCTATTAGACCTCCTTAGTTTATTCCCTTTGCTCGTCAGTATTGAAAACAGTACGAGTGCTGCACTTACTACGTGGTCAACTTTGTAATTTCAGGTATGAATGTCGTGCCGTTGAAGTATCCTGTTAGACTGGACACTTATCTGAAAGGACTCAAATACCCAATTGAAATATCGGACCTCGGGCTGCCATATTCCACGATCACTTTTCCCAGCCAGGTCTGTGGAGATATCTCGTTAATCCAGAGAACCATTATTCCCCGAAATACACTAAAACTATCCCAGAGGTTACAAGTTAAAAAACTAGCTGAATATTACCATTAAACTCTCCAAACGCTGGTACATGACTGCGCTTCATTTCCTTTTCCAATGCCAAAATGAGAGCCCACTTCAGATGGCGATATCCCGTCTTAGGTCTGCCAGCTACGAAGTAAATTGTATTCTTCTCTGATATGTCGTTAATGTCAAAAACCGGCTACTTGATACATCACATCTCCTTTTATCACGCCTCCCGTATCTAACTAAAACCGTTAATCATCATTTCAGACCCCACTACGGATTCCCAATGGAGAAACTAAGCATGATTTATGTCTGCAAAACTTGGCTGTCATTACGACGTCTGTTTCGAGTGGTATGGACGTGAGCATTCTAAGTCATATTACGGAGGATGCTGCACTGCATCCGAAAATGAAACAAAAGGAGTCGAAAACATTGCAAACGAACCAGATTGCGATCCTGAGTTCCGCAATTGATAATACTCACAGCTTTTCAGAAGGTTTGCGTGAAAAACAAGCCTCACAAGTATTTGACCACTTCTGCCCAAAGCACGGGCATTTCAAGGTTAGTCTACAATCTGAACCCCTCATTAGCACCGATGAGCCGCTTGCGCTTGACACCTCTTCTGATGTTTTGAATCAACGAGGCGATGTGCTAGCAGTCCCAGTCAATCAAATTGATACATCTGCACTAATTATCAACGGACAAAAGGCTACGTATCCTGATGTATGCGCAATAGCATTTCCAAATCGACTGCAGCAGGAAGACGATTGTCCAGAAATCACCCAACACCTCCCGCCTGCACAAGATCACAAGGATGACGTCAAGCAGCGTCCATCAATAACAAATGTCCTGTTTGACCCTTCTGAGCTGCAAATCTCTTTGACCAGACGATATGAACTGGAAAAGGTTGCCATCAAACTAAATATGATTTCTTGTGCTACATCGATTGCCCTATGGTCCCCCTATATGATTTCGTCGTTGGTATATTTGCTGCTCACTAACACGCGGTTCAGTCATTTGGTATCCATTTCAACACTGATACAGTTCAAATGGTTAACCTATTTGAGTTCAGTCGCATACACAATAGGATATCTTATTGTCGACCGACAGCTATCCACCGCTTTCGCCCATTTTATTTGTTCAACAAAGATTTCCTTATGTAGTTCTACCCGGTGTACAACAGCTCCGCAAAACGTATTTCGTTGTTGCAGACGGAAATAAAAATATGTTTTCTATCTGAGTGAATTTTTCCCCATTAGCTGATATTTCGGGGTCTGAGGGATGTTGCACAGAAGCGCTCGTTACTCGTGCTCCAAAAAAAAACATCTGTCAAGATACTCGTCTAGTGACTCACCAAAATACTGAGTAAATTTGCTTGCCAGAAATCTAGGACTTATTACCGACCGACTTAAAATTGCGTGCTCTATCAACAAATTACAAAACGTTACGCCAACGCGACCCGTTTGGTCTCGTCAATGTTAGTTCACAGATTTATCCCAGAGAGTGTAATTAGCTAGTCAGTTGAACTATGGTCCGTGTTCTTTCTTGATTTTAATTATCGCCGTAAAAATTCATGTGTCCCCTGAGGCCGCATTGGAATGCGTGATCAAGATGGCGTGTGTTCCATGAATTAGTTACCCAAGCAAAGCTTTATACCAAATCGGAATAATCAATCTTGATCAATAAGCGCGCTATATACCGATTTTTAGATTCGGGTATATCCTCTTCTCTACAGTAGTAAAAATATTGAAGCCGCGTTTGCCGGCATTAATACCAGGGGATAGGGACGGTTTGGCAAACTGTTGTGAATCGAGGTGAATGTAATTAGTCAACTGTCTTGTGTTACTCGTTCAACTTCAAACAAACTAACGTCAACTGCCTGAATGGGATGAGTAGCACGACTCAATATTTGGTGCACCTAAACCATCCTAGTGGTCAGCCGCCTGCAACCAAATGGTACTGTGATTGAACATCTAAAGGTAAGAAGGTTGATGTTCACTGGAATATCAAAGGACTAGCTGTTTAAACGTCTTATATCTGTGCAAAAACTGCTGCTTTCCCATTTCGAATCGTTGATAATTAGAAGATAACTGTGCTTAACAGATGCCATTACAGTGGCTTTAATTTTTACTTGAAGTGAGAGCTGGACTGAAACACCAAGCTTTGGTTGCGAACTAAATCGGTGTATTATAAACGACGTATTCATTTGTTCAGGTTTCAGGCGCTTAATCGTCATGAAATTCTCTGGGTGAACCATGTTTGCAACTCAAATACTACACATCAAGAATCTGCACATCAGGTAGACGAAATTCGTGACAGTCTTTTTCAGGCAAGTGATTTCTTCACAACTTCAATCCGGTACCTTCTTTAAACGACGATGCCAGAGAATATTTTGCATTTGCGCCGTTTTTCTGCACAACATTCTTTATTTTTTTGGTTTTCATCGCTTCGGTGATTGTGCGGCAATGGCTTTAAACTCAAAAAAATCTACAGGAGCATTGTGAGTTTTAATGGTTATCCTCATCAAATGAAAATCCAGTAAATCTTGCTTATCATCTACATGGTTCGTTGACGCTTAATCCAGATGGACACAAAATTCGAATTCTAAGCGCTTAAAACACCAAGGAATGGTCCGCATAGCTAAACATGTCCACGTTGATAATGCCACGAATCCCGTTGTTAAACGTCTAGTAGGATTGTCCGAAGTACAAATGCACTATTTTTCAACCACAAGAATTAAAAGTGCCATCGCGTTAACTTTGAATCGAACCATGTGAAACATTTATTTAGGAGGAAATGACTAACACAAGTGAGGATCACCATTTTAATCCCTAATCACTTTGGGAAACGCTGGGAAGGAAAGTTGTTTTAAGTAAGAGTTTCCTTTTTGTGATGGCTGATAAGCGACCCATCGGGTTCCTCTTTCCTGCAATTTGCAGTAAGTCGCCCAACGAAACAGATATGCCAAAGGCCAGTATTCCCATTCTAAGAGGGCATAGCCTCTAAATCGATAAAGTAAACGGAGCCCTATCAGCCATCCAATGAACGTAGTGGCGAAAAGACATCCATATGTCTCTGAGGGGGGCGGAAAAAGGACACCAGATTCAGTCCTACACGTGGATGTTACTCTGTCTATCTACACTTGTGAAGCTTGTATGGTTATTCGACGCAGCTGGATGTTCTCCAAAAGAAATTCTTAGAAAGTTCCTGCGCTTTCAGCCAAAGATGCGATGAAAGCACTGGCCAACGCTGTTATTCGGCACCAATTATTCGGCTGTCACTCAGTGTGCCGTTTGAAATATGTAACTTAGTAGATACACCATATCTGGAATGTTCGGGGAAAAAATTTTCCCGCGACAGAAATCACTGCAATTCAGGCTTTGGAATTGACGACGCAGTTTTTAAAATCGACAATGTTGTACCACGTCTTGTCTCCACTCTATTTTTCATTCGGATGCATATACAGTGATCTCGTGTCTGAACATCTCTCCTCACTTTCCCAAATGCATCTGCGTTTTCCATCCCATTCGTTTCCTTCCCTGCATATACACACTGTATGCGTCAGAGACACAAACTACAGAAATCATTAAAGAATGATCTGTTTTGTTGTCAAACCAAGCTTACTATAACGATTATTTCCACAAATAGTGCTCACGACACAATATTTGGGTATAGTAACCAGGCATGTACGTGCTTGGAAGCGATAATTAAATAAACAGATGTACATTCTCTCCTGCGCTTAGGAGGTTTTCATCGTGCGTACGGAGTGAATTTCTGCGTAACAGTGGAAATGATCAAGTTTCCTCGAGATTATATATGCTAATACATTGAAGGATCTTATACAAATCGTTCAGCTAAATTTGTTACCGGAAATGAAACCAATCAATGATAAAAATGCCAGAAAACACCGTGTAGATGTTTCGGTCCCATTCAATAAACACGGCGCATATGGATGAGTTAGTGATGTACGAACATTGGACAGCTAATGTTTGCCACGAAGTTTTAGCAATTAAACCTTTACAGTCAATGCCTACTTATTAGCTGTTACTATTTTTGTGGAGATTCCGTCTTGAAAGTGGAGTCAGTCCATGCTGAAAAGCCTGGAAGCACTGCACAGCTGTTTCATCAGCAGTGCGCATGTAGTGAAACTCCAGTGGGTCTAGAACCCGCAACCTTCTGGGTAGTAATTTGAACACTTAGCCGTCGGTCACGAGCGACTTACCGGCAATGTGATAATCTCGCACTTAGATAGGATAGAGAGCCTTCATCCTCCAATCATGGGATCCAAATCACGTGATCACACGTGTTGAATGACTCCTAGAGCAACAACTTCTCAGATACAATTTTCACTCACCGGGTACAGTTTATTCTTCCACTGAGCTCCACGAAAATTCTAAGATCTCCCCACGCTACTAACAACTGTTACTATGCTTTACAGGTGATGTAACACTCCCTTCGATCGTAACCAGCTTTAATTCGTGGGTACATGGAACAAAGGCTCTCGTATACCCCTCTAGAGAATATCCGAACAACCCTGGAAGCAGCCTTTGAATGCCTCTGAAGCCGGCTATAATATTTAAAAAGCAGCTAAACGTAAGTTTGTCGTTGGCTTATTACACTATTCGCAAGCTTACTGAAAGCCCTTCGACAGCCCGCGACCGGTTCCACTCGTTTTGGGTGCTCGGCACAGTCTCCGAGTTTCCGTCAACTGTTTCTGCGACACCTAATTTAACGTAACCTAAATGAGATCATTTAGGCGTTGTTGTATTCTGATGTGGTTTTGACTCCATCCAGCTACACCCACTTATTAAGCAACGATAGGAGAGGGGGCGCCCATGCGACTAACATTTCGGGATTCGAACATTGCTTTGTCCAATCGATTGGGTTTCCGTTTGAATAAAAGCAGATAGATTAGGTGTTGTACACACTTTGTCGGATGTGTTTTGAGAAACGACCCAAATCGTCCTTTGCAACCCACTGAAATGCTCCTGAAAGATTTTCTCCCAAGTATACACGATTAAGAAATTTCCTATTCCAAACCACCTTGTTGTGGAGTATTTCCCAACAAAGTGAAAACAGTGCAATGGATGATCGATGTTGTAACCGATTTGACGTTGCGCGTATGGCATTTGCTAAGACAGTAATTACAAGGCAACGTAAGGCCGGCCGATCGAGCAGATCAGATTACCCCAAACAAACTGTCAATGTGGCGGATCTTTTTAACTCTGGTCCTTACTCTATCGATTTCGCTGGTTAAATCTGGCTGTACACAGGCTTATCGCCTTATAATGAAATAAGTGGCGTCACCATATTGATATGTTTTAAATGAGGACTTCTCTTCATGGTTACATCTTTACTGCATTGACCGGTGGGCTGGCAGCATCCCAGCGACAAGTTTGACAAACAAACAACTTTCCTTCATCCTCAGGGGTGTGCTACGTGCGGAATTTTGGAAGTTTCGTACTTTCTCCGATGCCGAGAATTTAGAAATTCAAATCTTTCAATCCTCAAACCAGTATTCCTTGGAAACATGCTCTCCAGGCACTAACACAAGGTGCATCAATATATCATGTGTAGTAAACACATAATTCAGACATATGTCAGGGGATGAGAATACATTTAACCTTCAGAGAAGGATGTCTGCCCTGTTCAACCATGTCGTGAAGTCGCTCATCCACGTGAAGCCGTTATCATCAGCCTTATTCGTAAGATTTCCGGTTAATATGGTTTTGATTGCAATGCATGAGTCACCTCTTGATATGTCTATTGAAGATGGACTCAAGAAATTAGTGCAACAAGAGATGGGTCAAAATCCGCACTGAAGACAGGC